AAATGTCTCCAGTGTTTAAGCAGCCATGAAGAGATGAGATGATCAAATAAACAAGAGAAAGCATTTTCTGTGGATAGGTGTTCTATTCTACAGAACCAAGAAACTTGAGGTTACCATCACCTGAGCTATCAATCAAGAAATCTGGAATCTTCTCGATGGAATAGCAATCACACAGTTTTAGGTCACTGACAATGGATGTGGCAAGAAGCACTTCAGCACTTTACTGACCCTTCTTCAGTAAGAAAAGTGGGCTCGTGTCCATGTTTCATATCTTTATTGCTTGGGTCAGGGACATAGAATGAAGCTAGTAGGGGCCAGGAGAGTAAAGAGGAAAGAGTAAATTAATTGTGTCTCACAACCACAAGGCTTCCTGCCTCACCCATAGCTCAGGGCTATGTCTAACTTCATATTACATTCACAATAATATACTGCTACTTATGAAATAAGAAGTCTTCTATAAAGGCCAAAAAATTCAAAGTCTGTATTTAAGTTTAATTCCTACAAACCTGGATATTCTTGGGCACTAGATTCTGACCTATCTCTTGTTCAGTGATAGGTGCTATAACGTTGAATGATGCAAACTGCATTTGATGAACTGCAAAGCTGCAAAGCTCTTTGTGACCATGCCTTTGGGGGAAAAATAAATAAATAAATAAATAAAACCTATGAAGTCAGATACTGTTGCCAGGAAATGACATGCAGCTTAAGAAACTTGTTTATACACATCAGCTAAATATGAGTAAGGAAGTGATTTCAACTTTGTTATTGTTGATAATACTGAAGGAGACAACATCAAAAAAATATTTTGAATTCCTGCTTAATTAAAATCAGCCAAGATGCTTTCTTTATGTGCCATCTTCCAAGTTACAACAGAACCTGGATTAAATGCCTAGATAAAACTAGAAAATTTACTCATATAAAAACAGCAACAACTACAAGACTAGCGTGATGAGATTCCACTGATTAATGAAACTGTATGGATATACAGACAAAATATACAGGCATGTGCAATTCATTTCAATGACCTACTTGAGACTCAGTTTCAATGCTCTCAAAATACTATATTGCATCTGTCACTACATAGGGAAAGTATTTCATTTTTGGCGAATATTCTCTGGTTTTCTTGAGTATTTGAATAGCAGCTATATTTAATGGACCTACTTTTCTTTCCTTATTGGTAAAGAGAGGTAAAAACTGTTTCTTCCTACACCTATTTTTCCCAAAATTATTTTAAAAAATAAAAGGGCATACACCCAATGGATAGATTAGAAAATCCAGAAAGTGCAGCACAGTGCTCCAATATTATTGAGAATATGTTCAGTTTCTGTAAAACTAGTTCACTGAGTCTCATTCATAACACGAGCTATTATCCCTTGGAAATATTCAGATACGCCTGTGAGGCTCTCCTGAATTTTCTTGCTTGCCCAACCACCTTTCTGTATGCATAGTTAACATAGGCTCTGACCTGCATAGTGATACAAAAGGGTTTGTGTCTTTTGCTGTGCAGTTATTGCTCCTCTCACACCAGAACCAACTCTCTTGAAGTTATCCATCACATTTACATGGAAAAAGATAGCAGCTTCTTTGATGTCTGATATGTCCAAGACCTTGCACTCCATCTGGCTTCTTTGGCATGGCAAGTCAGATAGTAGGGAATTTAGAAACAATATGGGGGTGGAGGAGGTGGGAGAGAAGACATTCACAGATCCGTCTATAAAATTTGGAGGTGAAATCATACTATGTGTATGTTTAGTCGGATCAAGCTTCCTCTGACTTAATTTGCAGTTGTTAGTACAGTTAATTACAGTTGTTTATATGCCTATGTGGAGTATTTTTCTCTTTCTCCTTTACACAAATTGAAACTGTTAAACAAATCTGACATGACATTTCCAGATGGAATTTCAACCATATAAAAATAGGAAATGGCAAGCTTCCCAGCTAGAATTTTGAGAATTCTGCTAAAAAGCTTGAAGCTTGGCCTGAACCTCATAGCACAATGTGAATTATATTGTTAGAGGACAAACAGTCCTGTGGTGAGGGAGTGTTACCCTGGATGTTAGGGGAGTTCCAGAGAAATGCTCTGAGCTACTTTAGGAGTCTTTCAGGGAAAGTACCTTGGTATGTAATTGAGGCACTCACTCGTAATATGGGACGTAAGAGTCTGAATGCCTACAAGCTCAGAGAAGAAGTGAACAGAATTCCTGGATTTCTTCTAGCCTCTTTGCTACTTCGTAAGTTGGTGAGAGTCACTGCCACAGTTTGAGAGGACTTGATGGACTTGCCACAAATGAAGTGTTTTCATGCATCTCTGAAGCAGAATTCATGAACCCATAGATTTATATGTAAAGTGCAGCATAGAATCATGCAAAAGTGCTCTGTTGGGTCAATTATTCTGTTCAATTGACATTTAAATCAGGATTGTGTCTATTGATGACAAATCTCCACTGTATTCAAGGAAGACACAGTTTGCAAGCACATTAAACCTTATCTTCAAGTGATAAATCATTACTGCTCATATCCACTACTCTGTAAGAAAGACCAGGGTTGAGAACTCAGTTTGAGTCCTCAAAGCGGTTAGTGTCCTGTGGGTCAGAACAAAGAGGCAACTCCTCCCCTGGAGATACATGGAACAAGAAATCAAGGACTTGGGTGTCTCGGAGTCATTCAGGGACCATCATTCCACTGTGAATTTTCCCTGTTTGTGGTGCCAAACCCACTGGCAAGACAGCACCCAGGTCACCGTGCCAGGACTCACATGCCACTCCATAAATGTGTTGGAGCAGCCTCGGGGAGGGAAAGCCAGCAGCTACAAATGAGCTATTCTACAGGCAGAGAGATATGTTTCCTAAGCACTAAAAAGGGCTTAAAAAGTTTGCCAATTATTTTTCCTACACTTCTCATAGCCCCCGATCCTCGGGATGCAGGAAACAGCCTGTTGACAAAAATATTTATTGGAAAGCAAAGCTGCCATATGATAACATCTGCTATTGAATGCAAAGTTATACAACTGTGGTATTTTAATGTCTTTGCCTCATATCTGCATTTCTTTGTGTAATAAGCAATGAGCTTGGAGTGCAGTGACCAGCTGGGACAGTTTTTACTCTTGTGGCACATAACGCCAGGGTTCAGGGTGCTGGGCTTTGACCTGGGTCATGCATGCAAAGTGACCCTGCTCCGGTCTGGCAGCTCCTGTTTCCGCTGGAAGGAGGCCATGCCCTTTTCCCCAGGCCACTTCTCAGACTGCAGAGCTCAGCTACTGTGGTGCTAAGATTGTTTTCTAATGTCTCCAATAAATTTGCTCCCCATGAAGAAGTGGTTTCTTTTAGTTTTTTTTCTCAGCTTCAAAAAGCAAGTGAATTATTTTTAGCTCATCTTTCCCCTTTCAAATTTGCATTTGGGAACTAAGTCAACACAGGATGATTCTGATTCAAAAGGCAGACGTCTCAGGAGTTATGGACAAGAAAGAGGGAACTGAATGGCAGTGGTTCTGCAACCCCTGCTTTCAGTTCAATACACTAAGTTCAGAAAATAACTTAGGAACTGAAAGTAGGACTTGTGGCAAATCTGGGAACTTGGAACCTAAAACCTAAAGATCCTAAATGACCTAAAGGTCATTTTCCATCTAGCTTTGAAAAAGTTTATTTTTAAGCAAGAGGCATAAAAACTTCTGAAAAACCCCCCACCTCAAGGTGCCTCTTTTTCTCTGAGACAATGTCTGCCCTTTCTTATTTAGTTGCAGAAATATTCTTAGCTGACTTCAGGGTAGGTTGACCATGACATCTGCTGTGCTCTACTGAGACCTTTGCATTTTGGCTTGTGGGTTGCCTGGGGTAAGTATAAGAGGACAACGTGATGCAGCCATAAATCCATGACTACCTTGGCCACCCAGCAGCACAGATGATGGTTAGTAGCCACGGAGCTAAAGCAGTAACTGGAAACCAATCTTGCATGCTCATCGGCACATAAGTCCCTTTAATCATACAGCAAGGTAGTGCTCACATGCACTACGTATCACACTTTTCCAGGACAGCCTGATCCCAGATATCTCCCAGACATGAGGAAGCCTCACTAGGCATAATACCAAGCAATTCAAGCTGATTTGTCTGTCCTGCTTTGGTCCTACACTGTCACAGGAAGGTGTTGCCGTCAGCAGACTTGCCCCATCCAGTCCTCAGTACTAGGTCCTGTGTTAATGTATAACAGCCTCCTCGGCCCCATTTCTCTGTCGTGTGGCGGTCCCCTCACACCAGGGCCTGGACTAGCATCCTGAAGGAGCGCAGGCTCTGAGTTTGGTCTGCAGTGTGGGTGTGGACCATGTCCACAAAGCCTGGTAGATGCACCGTTTATAGCACTGGAAGAAACTTTCTCTTCCTCAAACTCCTTGCACATTTCCATTGAATTGTATGAAGATATTAGTTTGGGCTGTTCAAGAAGAGAAGCAGATGGGTTATTTACATAACCATTTATATCACTGGCATTAATGGGGAAAAGATGGGCTAAAGGAAGGAATTTGTTTCTGTTGTGCTAAGATGCTGCTGAGGTGAGAAAGCAGCACCTTGAGAAAGGTGAGGGAAGGTTCCATGAGGTCTTCTATCAGGTGGTAGAAGGATTTATAGACCGATGTACCTCACAGAGAACCAGGTCCCTTCAGCACCTCTCAAAAATGTGGTGATTTTATCCAGATGATCCAGCTTTGGGTATTGGTAAGTTTAAAGTATTGGTCCATTTTAGGAATAAAGAAAAAAAAGGGTATGCCATCCAGTAATACAATTGCGAAATCAGGGGTTTTCAGAGAAGGTAAGCTGTCGTGTTACTCTGCTTCTAAATCTAAATTTGTTTTCTGTGCTTCTGTGGGAAATCAGAGGATGTTATAAGCTGAGTCATGCAACTGTTGATTTTACCAAGCACACGCCTGATATAAATAGAGAAACACTGTTGAGCCTTGGGCAGAAGAGTTTGAGAGGTCTTCTAGTAGGGACTGACAGGACAGAGAGGCGAAGATGAAAATCACATCCCTTCCTTTCATTGGGGTACTATATCTAGCATGTTCTTGTGCTTTACCAGTCATTCCAGAAAAAGAAAAAGAAGATATGCAATTTGCTCAGGTAAGGACTGTAAGCAGAGCTTATGAATTAATTTATTGACAAAATGAATATAGTCATGCACTGGAAATAACTGTAGAATAGTTTATTAACAAGTCTAACTCTGAAAAGAAACATTTATGTACTAACCTGTTTCTTTTCTCTCTCATCAGAAATATCTGGAAAACTTCTATGATTTTAAAGAAGAGAAAAGTTCTCTTTTTAAATCCAAGGACCTCAATCCTATGTCTAAAAAAATCCAAGAAATGCAGTCATTCTTTGGACTCGAAGTGACTGGGCAACTGAATTCTCAGACCCTGAACATGATGAAGCAGCCTAGATGTGGAATACCAGATGTCCGTTCATACAGCACTTTCCCTCTGAGTCCTAAGTGGAATAAAGAAGATGTGACATATCGGTAATATATTCTAAAATATATTCACTGTACACCACTGGGAAGTCTGTGATTACCAACAGGTTCTTTATAATTTATTCTTATATTTATCCTTTTAAGAGTCATATTTTGGGTCACAGGAACATAAACCTGGGCAATGTTCAAATCTTTCAGTTTAGGCTTCCAAAAAGTTATAAAAGGGACTAAAATAGGAGTCTACATTGCTTGGTTAAGAGCCTACTCTTAGCCGAATAGTCAGCAGGGAGAAGGGATGCAATTGCAGTTATATAAGTTAGGGGGCTTGAAAGAAAACTATGAAAACTTCTTGTGTTATATCTCGTAAGTAGATAAGTAGAAAATAAACAGCTCAAGACATATAATCAATAATAACCAGTGACCTCATAATGACCTCGATACTGTGTGCCTTAGTCACCTGATCTGGTTGCTTTCTCCTTATTTCCCAGGATTTTAAACTACACCCCAGACATGCTACAAGAGGATGTAGAGGAAGCAATTGCAAAAGCCTTTCAACTCTGGAGCAGCGTGACCCCTTTGAGATTCATCAGGCTCCACAGTGGTGAAGCAGATATAAAGATCTCCTTTGCATCTGGATGTAAGGAGGTCTCTTTGCCTAAGAATGATAAATATTTATCACTTTTACAGAATTGATGAAAACCATCATATGTTTCTTTCCTTTTCTTAGTTCATGGTGACTTCTATTCCTTTGATGGCCCAGGAGGAACTCTGGCTCATGCCTATCACCCCGGCAAAGATATAGGAGGAGATGCTCATTTCGATGAAGACGAAAACTGGACCAAATTTACTACCTATAGCGGTAGGTAGCCTTAAGCATTGCATCACATGTTGCTTGTTAAACAGCATTTGTCTTGGAGACTTTTAATTGCACTCTAAAACTGCAGCTGCCCCATCAGTAATTCCAGGATTTATGGAGATGTCAAATGTCAGAGTAATTTAGCAAAGTAATTCTGCCTATTCTGACTTGGATTGCAATCACAGCACTTCCCTGGAGTTAATGCATAGACTGCAATTGCAGGCCTAATGAAGTAAATGAGATTAGCAAAAGACAGTATTATCGAGATGCAAGGAAGGAAATTTTAGTTGCCAGGAAATATCTTTAAAAGTTGTAATATTGAGATCACTGGGTTTTCCCTTCCCTTCCCTTCCCTTCCCTTCCCTTCCCTTCCCTTCCCTTCCCTTCCCTCTCCTTTTTGTTTGTTTGTTTTGAACAGAAACTCGCCTCTTTTCCATGCAAGTAGACAGTCTATTACCTATAACATAATAAAACTCTGCTGTTTTATTAACACACTGAATGACGTATCACACACAAGCAGATGACATCTGCATCCAACTGTTATGCAAGAAAATTCATTTACTGTTTTTCCTTGGGATATTTATTTATTTATTTATTTATTTTAGGATTCAACTTGTTTCTTGTTGCTGCTCATGAGTTAGGTCACTCACTGGGTCTTGGTCATTCTAATGTCTTTGGTGCCTTGATGTATCCTATATATATGGGCAAGGATACAAGAGACTTTAGACTTCATCAAGATGACATTGATGGCATTCAGTCCCTCTATGGTAAGCAAGAAGCATCACTTGGGTGGGGGAGCAAAGTGGGGACGGAATAAGCATTTTGTAGTCAACTTTACTCAACAGCTAGCATGTGATAATCTTTCTGCAGAAGCTAAGGTATCTTTTTTAATTTCCTGATGCTATTCTGAGCAAATTTCATTTTCTTTGTGGCTGAGAGTCTACACCTGCAAAATGGAACCTGGGGCTGTATCTATGCCAGTAAATCAGAATGTTCAAGGACAACTCTCTATTTCAGAGGAATAGGCCATGTCCTTAGTATTAATCTCTCCTTTAAAAAAAAAAAAAAAAAAAAACACGATCCCATGCACAATTGCAAATGGTATTTGGTCTCTATTAACTCCTGAGCACACATAAAATAAGAGGGCAATAAGTTGTCAAGATGCAACTTGCAGCTACATTACAGACTATTTTAACAGTTAGCTACACAGACAATAGAGTAAAAATTCTTGAAGGGCCCATATGCTTGGCTTAGTATGGTATATCTCCATGTTCTACAACATGAAATTCTAATTCACCTTCCAATTCCACATTTATCTGTTTCCCAAAGGACCTCCCAGGGAATCTCCAACAAAAGCACTTCCCTCACAAGAACCAACTGAAAAGACACCTACAGTAGCACCATCAGAAATGTCACCCCATGAAGAACCAACAGAAACGACGCCCACCAAACCTCCTGCCAGACCAGAAGATTGTGACCCTCACTTGACTTTTGATGCTATCACAACTCTTCGTGGTGAAATACTGTTCTTTAAAGACAGGTATGTGATTTCATTTCTTGCAACACTTTTTTGTAAGACTCAAAGTGGCAAAACGTTAAGTTCAGTTTAAAAAATTTATTTTCCCTCAACACAACTGAAGATATTCCTTTCTCAAAGTTTTAAGGTAACTTTGCAAAATTTTACTAGCCCTTTGGGGCTGAGTGAGTAATGTGGTTTACTAACAGGTATTGTAGCCATCATTATCAGCCCTCTGGTCTTCCAGAATTTCTCAAGGCTGAATAATCACAGAGTCACTCTTCAGCCTGCTTTGCATGAAACACTATCCTGGTCAGACTGGGTTGGCATGAGGATCAGATCAACTAGTGACAGCAGCATCCTTCCCCTGGAGCTAACTCTGAACCTATAGCTCAGCACTGCCACTGGAGAACCCCTGCTATTAGGGTGTCTGATTCTTGGACATGTTCTGATATCGAGCTCTCTAATAGATTGATAGTTACACATTTCCACCTCCTGAAGAGATGGAAAGAGACCCCCTGAAGAGATCCAGGCTTTGGCTTACTGCTTAGGTTGGTAATTAAGTTCTGACGAAACAAACTTCCTCTGATGAAGTGATTCTACTTCCCCATATACAACACACCTGAAAACTATTGCTGTTTGCAGTATCATTAAGAAAGGGGAGCAGGGAGCACTTCCTTATTATGTGTTTCTCAAAAATGCTGAAGGTACATTTGTAACCAAATTGAAATTAAGAATGAAGCTGTGCCTACCTGCATGGGCTGTGGTGAAAACCTGGCTTCAGTTGTCAGCACAACTGCAGACATCAAGTGCCTCCTTGGCAAGCCATTGCGGTTTGTGACTGATGGAGCTCTCGCTGCTAAAGGGCAAATGTCTAGGGACAAGGGGGACAACAAGGTGCGCTATATCCCAAAAACTCTGCCTAGCTAGCTCCAGTGAAAAGGCAGCAGGGATTAATGTACATTTCCGTGTCATTCATATTGAAATATTAATATTGTTGTTTCCATTTTGAACAGCTATGTCTGGCGCAAAAGTCCTTACTTCAGAGACATTGAGCATGACACTATCTCCTCGTTCTGGCCATCGCTAGCAGGTGGATTTGATGCTGCTTATGAGGTTGACAAGAGGGATCAAGTAATGTTCTTTAAAGGTATTTATCAGTCCTTTTTATGCACGGGTAAACGTAGAGTAGTAGCAATTACTTGCATACATTTGTGTATGTGATGTAACAATTATAGATGTAATATAATAAAAATGAAAACAGCAAAAGCAATTCTTTATATTTGAATCTCCTTTTTTTTTTCAAAATGCTGCTTTAATGTATTTAACTAACATTATTTCAAACAGCTCTGTACAACAGCCCTGTATTTTGTGTTTGTCAGTGTGAGATAAGATCATAGCTAAGGCAAAACTGACTGCCCACATTAAGTAATTTAAAAAGGTACCAAACCTACTTCAAAAATATGTAATGAGCTTATAAAACAGAAAATCCAACAGCTCTGAAATACTCAAATTTTGTGTGTATGTTCTGAGGTAGAAATCTGTGCTAACTGGCGATGCTTGCTACAAAGAAAGCTCTGAAGCTTTATTTGAGAGGAGCTCAGCCCCTTTGGAAATCCCTACTAAGATTTTCTGGTTTTCTTGACAGATGACCAGTACTGGGCTGTCAATGGCTACAATATACAGCCAGGTTTCCCCAAGCCTATTCAGAGTCTGGGCTTCCCCAGAAACGTCAGGAAAATTGATGCAGCTGTCCATGATCAAAGTACCAAGAAAACCTACTTCTTTGTAGGCCACCGATACTGGAGGTAAGACTAACTCCTTTTTTGTACAGCAGATAATCAAGACAGCTTTTTAAAAGCTGATTAATGCTAGAATTTATACAGTACATTTGTGGTTTCCTATTGACGAACTTCTTAGCCTGTATAAGGCTGAATCTTCGAGGCAATTATTCCTGTCTATTCAAAGAACAAAGTTTGTAAAACTTGAGATAAAGGCAACATCCATTTACTGTTAGCAACCTAAGTGTAAGAGATACAGCAAATAAGTGTTGTTTTGCCACTGGAAAGCAGTATTACATAAAATAAAAAAGCCTACTCAGGCTTTGTTTTCTTGTTACACATTCATTCAGTGGCTACTAATGGACCAGAAGTGCTTTTTAAAATATATATGTGACAATTTTATCAAGAGCATTATGGAAGCAGATTGGAATGTTTACTTTTTAAGAGACAGTTCAACCAAACAGTAATATTATCCTAATAAGTAACAAGTATTAATTATTTTATAACAGTATTATTATACCAGAACTTCACATTCTTCTCCTGGGATCACTTCTTGGATTGAGTACTGTCAAATTAAATAATCATTGTGAATAATTATTTAACTTTATTACTCACTATGAGCAATTCTTATTATCAGTGTTAGGGAACAGGAGCGAAGTATTTAGTCAGATGTTCTTACAACAGCTTTGTGCATCCCAGTAAAGATGTTAAGTATTCACAAAGTCAGGATTTATACAGATCAGTGAGTGCACAGAGGCTCATGGTTAGTCAATTTTCAGGTGAGAGAACGCTCATTCACTAGAAATTCCACCTGGTGTCTATATTGAACATCACAGTTTGTTATATGTTTTCATTCAATTTCTTTATTTAGCTTCAATGAAAACACTCAGTCAATGGAAAGAGGATATCCAAGAAAAATAGCAGCTGACTTCCATGGAATTTACCACACTGTTGATGCTGCTCTTCAGAAAAATGGTAAATAAATTAAAATAACCTTATTAATAAAGCAAAGGACCATCATGTGTTTGTGCATGTGTATGTGTGTGTGCATGTGTAGCAAATGTTTTCAATTACCAAAGAAAGTAGCAAGTGTATATCAACATTTATAAAACAAAACAAAACAATAAAAAAATTCATTTGATGTCATTTTTGTCTTTCCTATTTCTAGGACATTTTTACTTTTTCCATGGAGCAAAGCACTATGAGGTTGATGTCAAGACCAAGAAACTTATCCGTACGATGAAGAGCAACAGCTGGTTTGACTGTGAGAAATACTAAGTTACAGTGTAGGATTGAATTTACACCAGAAATGTGTTTTTTTTTTTTTATGTTCCTGGGTTATAAACAATATCAGTCATCTTTGACTGCGTGTCTCAATCTGAAATAAGTTGCGATCTTTAATAAAACTAATTTAAAATCGTAAACATGTAAAACAATGTACAGTTTTAATTTATTTTCCAACTATTTATTAATCAAATTGTATTTGAATAATAAAAGTATTTTGCTTGAATATAATAGTGTTTGTGTCTCCTGGGTCTTTTGCCTGGGGGCAAGGAATCTGATATGGCTGCACTCAAGTCTCAACCATGCTAGGACCCAACCCCAGTTTTCCACAGGGCTCATTTACTGTAAGGGAAGAGTTAAAGACAAGCAGAAGCCATTGGGCAGTTTCAAGAGGCTAGAAGAAGAGGTCTGGGAGACACAGAGCTTGGGGAGGGCATTCCCAGGTGATGGCATGTGAAGTCCTCACACAGTGCGATGGTTCCTATGGGACAGGTTCGGGACAGATGCAGGGCTGGGCCCTGAGCTTGCGAGGGCAGTAGACCAAGGGGCTGCAGCAGCAGGTTTGGTGAGCAGGGCAGTGGGAAGAGGCAGGGGCTGGGATGCCCTGTGTGGGCCATGACAGGAGAATGAGCGATCAAGGAGAAATGGTTGGTGCTTGGCTGGGAAGGGACTTTGCAGAAAGAGAGTAGGAAACATAGGAAGTGTGTGCACACATTCCCAGGAGTCAAGAGATTACCCTGGCTGAATGTTACCAGTTGGTGCTCTTAGGTGAACTGCAGGAAGGAAGACAGAGACCAGTCCACAGTACAGTTAACTTCTCTCACAACAACTTCCAATAGCAAACAAACCAAAGGCTAAAGAACAAGAAGGGATATTCATGTACCCCCTCATGATGATGACTCCAGAGAAAGAGTGGGCCACAGTGGTAAGACAAATACACGTGCTTCCACCATCCACACTTGTGTTGCAATAGGAACAGTTCTCACAGTCTCTGGGGCTATTCAGCATATCTGAGTTTGTGGATGCTTTTCACAAATGCTATCTAACTAATATTCATAAACATAGATTGTATTTCCTTCACAGTATGTATGCATTCAAAACAATAAAAAGTCAGACCTTAGCTTTACTCGCTTTTCCTCATAGTCGGCAGACAGAGTCATAATCCTTCACTAGTCTCAACTAGTGAGTTGCTGGACTTTTAAATCAGTCAGCTAATGAGACCAAATCACAGCACAGAGCAGTGTGGTCTTCCCTTTTCCACACTTCTGCTTCCTCAGCTGCTGGAGG